TATTTATATTTACATTAAATATTAGATGACCTAACTTCTTACTTATTAGGACTATGTTGTATGTACTATGTATTTATAACACATATAGTTATTATTTCTATTACTTTCAGAATTATTATGAACTATGACCACTATTATTATTTAGTATTTTTTATTTTCACGAAAGAAGTAATTATAGTCTGATCGTTGAATTAAAAGATGTTAAAAGATGAATTGAAACATATTACAAAACTAAATTATATTCAATTTGACATTAAAAAAGAGTTGCCATGTCACTTCGTTTAATTATAAAGAATATAACAATTCGCCCTCACTTAATTTAATCACGTATTTACGATTTAATTAATGTTGGACATAATCTTCAAGATGCTTGGGTGGTTTCTGTTGTCGACTAAATTTACGATGACTTTGTGTCGATTCATTTCCCGATTGCTGCAATTCGGCAGTTAAAGGTTTTTCTGGCATAGGACATAAATGAGACGCTTTAGCTGAGTTATTATTTGAAGCAGGAACTAGTATGAACGTTGCTTGTAATAGTGATTGGTCACTATCTTGTTGCGTAACTGGATTTAGTGCTGTTTGTTATAAAGGTACAGAATTTGCTGTATTTAGGTTGGTAGTACGAAGCTGATCAATATGACGTTTACAGTTGAACCGGCAATGCAGCTTTATTAAGTAATGGGGATAACCTAGCTTATATATAATTATTCCAAACTTTCAAAAAGGTGTGGTGGCGAATAGTACCGGGCTTGTACTCGGTCCCCTTTACTTAATTGTCTTACCACTTCCCTTCCAGTAGAGGTTTTTGAAGGCTTTAATGCGTCCAATTAAATTCTTATTTGTCTTCCAAGAAATTGCTCTAAAGGTGTCTTACCATTCCTTAACGAAGTAGCCCGATATTTGAACATGATATCACGAACCTTTTTACAAATAAGTTGCGGATCATCAACCATTGCTGCAAGACGTTGTTTTAATGTTTGAACATTTCTTTTCGCTAATCCGTTTGTTTAAGGATGTCTTGGAGCAATAAATTATTGAAAAATTTAAGACTTACTACACAATTTCGTGTATTCTTCACATTTAAAAATAGCTATGTTGTTAGATACCATTACATCTGGGTATCCATTTCTGGCAAAAATACTTTTCAGCATTTCAATTGTTGATGTTGATGATGGTGGAGCTGAGCACACTCCTACCTCAGCTCATTTCGATTTATAATCTACAACAATGAGAAATTGGTGCCCTTGATAAGGACCTGCATAATCGATGTGAATTCACTGCCTGTTACCTTCGGGTTCCTCCCATGGATGAATAGGTGATTTTGGAAGATTCTTTTTGCAATATGCGCAGGCGGCATATGATCGCACAAAATTCTCGATATCTTTATTAATTGAGCCCCAGTAGACAAGTACCTAACCAATTGTTTCATTTTAGTTGACACAATGTGAGAATAATGCAATTCGTTCAAAATGTGATCTTGCACTTTTTTGCCTTTAAACAATAAATTGATTACATATTCCAAATCGGGAAAATTTGAGTTTCTTGATTCATGAATAATTTTTGAAAGATGAGCATCATTCATAGTTGCATTCCAAATTGAATTGAAATTTAGTTTCATGGAGTATATTTAGGAGATTCTTGAATCATACATAAGATGCACTCCAATATTAATTGAGTTTTGTGCAATTATACTTGTGTTTATTGGAGCTCTCGACAAGCGTCTTCATTGATATTTTCCTCACTTTTTTTTCTACTTACTTCATAATTGTATCCCGTTATGAATGCTGCGTACCGCTGCATTCTGGCTATAGTCATTTGAGGTATTTTTGAATTCTGGTAGAATATCCTTGACAGCGGTTGATTATCCGTAATCAGTTTGAATGTTCAACCATAAAGATATTGATAGAAATGCTGAACAGCAAATCCAATTGCCAAAGCTTCTCTATCTAGCTGGGACTAATTTTGCTCAGGTTTAGTAAGAAATCTTAAACCAAAAGCAATACGTCTTTGTTCGTTGTTTACATTGTGAAACAAAATACCTGTTATGTCCGATGGGCTAGCATCAAACGCTAGCTGTAATTTATATTTGGGGTTGAACGGCATTACGACTTTATCGCTTGCAGTCTCGCCCTTTAAGTTTTAGAATGACTTGTCGCATTTCTTATTCCAAATAAATTTTACATATTTATGTAATAATTGTAGCAATAGTGTGGTTATTGTAGAACAATTTTTTATGAATTTTGGATAATAGGTAACCATGTCTAAAAATATGTGAACATCTTCTGCACTCTTCGGTTTGGGCAATCTTAATACAGCTTAAATTTTGAGAAAGATTTTTGGATTTTATTCCCGTGAACTGTGTGTCCCAAAGCTTCAATTTGATTCTCGAAGAATTTGCATTTCAAAATATTTAAATGTAAGTCATGCTTTTGCAACTGTGACAAACATGATTTTAAATTAGATTTGCACTCATCAAGTGACATGCTGTATACCATGATGTCATCCAAATACGAATTTATCGTAGGAACAACCAGTAAAATTCAATCGATAACTCTGTTGGACTCTGCTGCGGCTGACTTAATTTGAAACGACAGGCGATTTATCTTATACGTGCCCTTATGCGAAGATATCGTACAGTCTTCTGATGCTGAAACATTGTTGTATGTTCAATAGAATCCATAGTTTCCCATCTGAGACAAAAGAGTCTTGTGTATATGAACGAAATATGATACCTATCGGGAATATTTTATTAGAAATATGCATCTTGTTGAACTGGCTTCTAGGAAGAAATGAATATCCAGATCCTGAGTCGACTTCAAAACGAACTGCTTTCCCTTCAATTAAAATGTTTGCGAAGTATCGTTTTGTGTTTTCATTTTACTGATGATTATGATATACGATCATAATCTTTAAGATATTGGTCGTCAATATTCATATGTGTATAGAGCAGTGACAACGCATGCCCTATCTGGAAGGGTGTGCGGCCCTTCTATAATGTTGTTTTTACATGTCCCACTTATATTAAAATATATGAGATCTTTTATTAATAAAAACTATATTATATAAGGCAACAATATATTCGCAATATTATATTAACAATTCATTAACAAAATAACATATTAAACAAATTAAATTAATAATTTATATATAAATTTAATATTATATCAATATGGAAGAAACAAAACTTTTCACATAATTCTCGTAACATCAAACCAACTTTTTTCAAACAAAAGCGTTTTAACTCAGAACCATACATGTTTATGCAGTGATCAAACAAAATCAAATCCACTTGCAACGTATAAATGTGCGGACAAGTACTCCGCACAGTAAGCGACAGAAATTCGTGGGTGCTACTGTTAAAAGGGGTGAGACGAAATGTGATCGAAATGTATGATGAGATGAGCTGCAAACTTCAGCCGCTCATGCAACCACTTAGGCAAATCATCATGTTGGATTCGTATGCATGCAGTTGATATTCGAGTAGAACAGAAAATTACTCTCATACAATTCCCACTATATAAATCTCTATTTCTGATATTACGAACGGGAGCACACGCACATTATTTTGTTCATATGCAACGTATGAATGTGCGGCCAACTTCTTTGCATACAAAGGGGAGAGACGAAATATAATAGAAATTTTCTGTGATTTGAGCTGCAAATATATGAGCACAACTAACAAGTATAGCAGCTAACAGAAGCAAATTGATTGAGTTTTCAGAGACAATTATATTTGATTGTTTTTGCTAAAACTTTAAAAATATATATATGGAAATGTAATAAATAATAATAATTCTTGATGTGAAGATACTTAATAAATTCATATACCTATGTTATTTGACATTTTGCAAATTATGTAAGGGTGTTCACCGCACACCTCCGCACCTTAGAGCAATCGTCAC